TCAGACACGACCGATGAAAACAAACGCGCAAAACATGAAAAAAAGAAAGACGATCCTACCTATTTTAGGCCTACAGGTTTCCAAGGTGGTGAAAGGAACTATTTGTGTTAAAATGTGTTTGTTCATTTTCTTCAGACCGTTCCTGTTGTGTGGGCGCCTTTCGTGTGAACGAAAGTAATCGATGAAAACAAACGCTCGATTCACGAAGAAAGAAAGAAAATCCTACCTCTTTAAGCTTGCTGGTGCTTCAGGACCTGAAAGAAACTATTTATGTTAATGTGTGCCTTTATTTGCTGGTGAAAATTGTTTTGTTGCTCGTTTTCTTGCGAGAAATCCTGTTTTGTGACCGCCTCCTAACACGGCAAGTCTTCGAATGATACCGAATTCGAACATGTAAACAACTTTGCTGCTTAGCAACCACTTGTTGTCGTACATTCGAACCTGTAAACAACCCAGTTGCTTAGCAATTGTTTGTTGTCGCGCATTCAAATTTAACGGTCTTCTATCGCAGTATAGGAGAGAATCAAACACGACCGATGAAAACAAACGCGCAAAACATAAGGAAAGGAAGGAAAACCCTACCTCTTGACAGGTGCCCAGGTCCAGAAAAATGATATATCTTAAATTTTTACCTTTATCTTGTTGTGTGACCGCCCCTGGCACGGTCATGGCTCGGATGGCGCCGAATTTGAACCCGTAAACAACCTTGCTGCTTACCAACCGCTTGTTGTCGCGCATTCAAATTTTACGGTCTTTTAACGCAGTAACATCACACATCAATAACGAAACCAACCAAGACTCAAGAATTATTTATTGATCAATGGCAGTAAACTTAATAAAAGTTACTGAATTGCGATTCAATGTACATTTTATTATTTTAAAATCAAGAGTTTATCAGAGTCATTAGGAGGTTAAAATACAAAGTCATTAGGAAGTTAAAATACAGTATCATTAGAAAGACTACATAGACCACTATAATTACACAACTACAACCACACCACAACAGTTAAAAATTACAAGTAGAAGAACGATTAAAAGGTAGGCCCATGTGATACAAATATTTTAGATATTCCTGATAACTGGATTGTCAGCTGTAACTTCGTTACATAACCAAACTTCAACTGTTAACATTTAAAACGATGAAAATAAGGCCGCAAAACATGAGAAAAGTAAAGAAAACCCTAGATATTTTGGCCTAAAGCTGTCTAAGGACATGAAATAAATGATTTATGTTTTAAATGTGTGGCTTTATTTACTATGGATAATTTAACGGTCTTCTAGACTATCTCAGTACACACAGAGAACAAAACCGATCTCGATCGAGCGATGAAAACAAGCGCGTAAAACACGAGTAAAGGAAAGAAAATCCTACCTCTTTTTAGGCCTACAGGTTCCGAAGGTCCTGAAAGAAACGATTTATGTTAAATGTAACGTTACTGCGTTAAAAGACCGTAAAATTTGAATGCGCGACAACAAGCGGTTGGTAAGCAGCAAGGTTGTTTACGGGTTCAAATTCGGCGCCATCCGAGGAATGACCGTGCCAGGAGGCGGTCACACAACAAGATAAAGGTAAAAATTTAAGATATATCATTTTTCTGGACCTGGGCACCTGTCAAGAGGTAGGATTTTCCTTCCTTTCCTCATGTTTTGCGCGTTTGTTTTCATCGGTCGTGTCTGATTCTCTCCGCGAAGACCGTTAAATTTGAATGCGCGACAACAAACAATTGCTAAGCAACTGGGTTGTTTACAGGTTCGAATGTACGACAACAAGTGGTTGCTAAGCAGCAAAGTTGTTTACATGTTCGAATTCGGTATCATTCGAAGACTTGCCGTGTTAGGAGGCGGTCACACAACAGGATTTCTCGCAAGAAAACGAACAACAAAACAATTTTCACCAGCAAATAAAGGCACACATTAACATAAATAGTTTCTTTCAGGTCCTGAAGCACCAGCAAGCCTAAAGATTTTCTTTCTTTCTTCGTGAATTGAGCGTTTGTTTTCATCGATTACTTTCGTTCACACGAAAGGCGCCCACACAACAGGGACGGTCTGAAGAAAATGAACAAACACTTTTCAATTGCAAATAAAGGCACACATCTTAACACAAATAGTTTCTTTCACCACCTTGGGAACCTGTAGGCCTAAAATAGGTAGGATTGTCTATCTTTTTTTTTCCATGTTTTGCGCGTTTGTTTTCATCGGTTGTGTCTGATTGTCCCCGTACACTGCGATCGAAGACCGTTAAATTTGAATCCGTGACAACAAACAATTGCTAAGCAACAGGGTTGTTTACAGGTTCGAATGTGCGTCAACAAGCAGTTGCTAAGCAGCAATTTTGTTTATGTTTGAATTCTAAGCCTATCATTCGAAGGCTGACCGCGCGAGGAGAGGGTCACACACAGGATTTCTCTCCACAAAAACGAACAACAAATCAATTGTCAACAGCAAATAAAGGCGCACATCTAACTTGAATAGTTTCTTTCAGGTCCCGAAGCACCAGCAAACCTAAAGAGGTAGGATTTTTACTCCGTGAAGGAGGTCAGGACCTCCGGACGGAGTGTTGTAATCGGCTGATTTTTCATGTTCGCAGTCAAAACACTGGGTTCTCTTCGTGTAATCGGCACGCAATTTTATACGCCGTCTGCGGGCATGCCCGTGTTGATGCACGAATGTGTATTTTTGCCGTTGCTGCTTTCGCGGTCAATGTAATATCGCAGACGCACCCCTACAATTACGAGGCGAATTGGAACGGTCCAGAAAAACGCGTTGTTTGGAATAGCGGGGGGGGAGGTAAAAGTTCATGCAGATACGGGGTGGTTTTTATAAGTGGTTCCAGATGTTTTTGCCCATGGTTAAGAGATGCCAAGTTTTTTGGAAGATGTTCGCAGCCAAAACGCATTCTGCCGTACGTCGCATATCTGTGTAATTTCGCATGTGGTGTTGCATTATGTCCGGGATGATGCACGTCTTTTTATTTTTACCGTAGCTGTTTTGATATTGGAGTAAATGGTTATTTTCGAAACATCCCTACTTTTACAATCCTGTGGAATAGACCGTAGGTTTAGGCAGTTGTCTGGTAGCAGAGGTACTGTAAGCAGATATCCTGGTTATCTGGCCGGCGGTAGTAACACTCGCGGTGCTTACCGCCACTGTTGCTGGAATTTGGCTTGTTCCAGGCGCGCTTAATTAGGTACAGGCACCGTAAGACGGTGGGGCTGTCTTTGTTACTAGACACGACCATGATAGTCCGATCTTTATGTGAATGCAATGATTGTGTGTGTGTAATTAAAATGAAGTTAGAACTTGAAGCACAGTATCTTTACACGCCCTGGGAGCAGTAATGGATTTAGCTCTTTGTATGTTTTATGCTTGTGACGCGCCCTCATTGTATTAACCCACGCTCCTCCGCAGCGTCCGCTAGCGCGCTATAATTAAATCCACATCTGGGCGCGCGGCGGGGTCCCCAGAGCAACACAGTGCGGAAGCATTAGCGTGTATTTGTGTCCTGGGGCCGAGAACGCATTTTGCGCAAAGCATGCTGGGTAGCAGAGTGAACTGTCCTGGGGACGAGAGTTTGTGGCGCGGGCGGAGAATGCCAAAACTCCCTCCGTGGCTAAGTTCCTTCCGCGACTAACTCCCTTCTGGGCAAATGTAGAGGGATAACGGTACACCCTCATAGCGTCACCAAATGAGGTACTTTGTAAAGGTCCGTTTCATTTGGTATATATTACCATTGTGACAGCATTTTATACCCCAAAATAGGAATCTTGCGTCTTGTTTTAGGTCCCGATAGTAGAAAGAATGCTGTGTACATGTATTCAGATGGCCGCCGTGTAACGTTACGTACTAGCGAGCGCGCACGACAATACCGCCAGAGTAGAGTAGGTTATCCTAACCCTTTAGATAGCGCAAAGAAAACAAAAACGACAGATTTGCATTAAAGAAAGTTTATTTTCCATAGCCTGGGCTAAGCCACGATCTATAACCTATGGCTTCTCCACGGGCGCTGGGGACGAGCGTGGTATTAACCGTTGCCTAATTATAATGTCTGCACAGTAGGTCTGGCGTTGACGCTTGGGATTTTGTTGAAATATATAAAACTTCACGGAGAATTGTCGCCTATGGCTTCTTGTTTCCTTTCTCCTTGAATTGCGCGTTTGTTTTCATCGATTACTTTCGTCCATTCCTGATGTTAGCTCATTTTGTAAAACTGTTGAAAGAATACCATTGGCGAACGCGCTCGAAAATTGCTACATTGGCAGAAACACCACAGGTGTTCTCTTATGACTTATATAGATGGTATGACTTATAGGGTTCTTAAGTTAACCATTTTTGGTCGGAAAGTAACTGAAAAGTCCAAAAATAAGTCATTTTCACGTTGTTAATGACATAAGCGTGTTTACACCAAGAAAGCTACACATACAGACTTGCTATCATACGTCAAAAAAATTTGGTTATTGCAGATTTTACAAAATCTATGGTAGTGTAAGGATCTAATATGCTGAACCATAGAGTCCCCCCTATGGGAATGGTATAACCTGCCACCCCCGGTGGCGAGTAGGCAAGTCCACTAGGAACCAGTTATATCCAGTTGAGTTAGAGTTACCCACATGTTCTGAAGAATACATACAGATCCACAGTACTCCACTCGTCTCTTCTGCTCATTCCATAAACCCTGGGATTGGATCGTTACACTGGTGGCAGCGGTGTTCGGACTCTTCGCCGTCCCTAACCACCGGACTTTATTCGTCAACAACCGGTGGATCGCTGCGTTCGCCGCCCCGGCGGTACTCGCCCCCCTCCCCCTCTGGCCCATGTGCATCTACCTTCAACTTCCCGGACCGCTCCGCTATCTTTTCTGTCAAGGTAGGCTTTAGGCTCGCACTGAACTGTTGAGAATTTGGAACTGCCCGTCACTATATGGCTACCGCTAGTGATTCTGTTGTCGTTATCGACGAGGACATTTCATTTAACTACAACCCCTGTGGCTCGCACCCCTCGAACGTAATGGCGTCGCCCACACAGACGGGTCTCCCACCGAGGTTTCCCAGTCCAGCTTCATTCCCTCCAGCTGTACCGTCGCAACCACCACCTCCCGGTACGTCTGTTACACCTACCATATACACATCTCAGGCCACAGCCCACCCTTCACTCCAGCCTGGGGCTAACACTCACCCTCCCAGGCCGGTATCGCAAATCGACCGTCAACCACCACCTCCTGGTACAGCTGTTACAACTACCGTATACACATCTCAGGCCACAGCCCGCCCTTCACTCCAGCCTGGGGCTAACACTCACCCTCCCAGGCCGGCACTCCGGTATGGGTCTACCACCCACCCACCCAGGCACCCTCAGCCCCCCCAGACCACTCGGCCCACTCTACCTGGCCAGCCTCCAAGCTACCGGTACTATGCACCTACCGATCCAGCTGCAGGCTTGCCTGTCACCTGGTACCAACCACCTGCTGTGCCTAGTCCCTCGTCTCCACCACACCTCAAAACGCCCCTCCCAGCCGCCTTCCTTGGCAATGGCGACGAGGACTTCCCAGTTTGGCTGACCAAATTCGAGGTATATGCCGATGCTCACCTGTATGATGCGACCGTTCGAACCCGGGCTCTACCGACTTTCTTGGATGGACCCGCTCTCACCTACTTCCAGAGCCTCCCCCAGGAAACAAACACGACTACCAGACACCTCTGCCAGGCATTGTCGCATGCGTTTTCCCAGGACAAGTACATTTTCAGTTTCCAACAATCACTGGCTCAAAGGAAACGCCAGCCAGGTGAGTCACTCATCGTCTTTGCCTCAGAACTCAAACATCTGGTCCGGCGGGCTCATCGCACATACAAGTGAAGCTGCCATCCAAGGTGT